CGGCTGTGTCCAAATCAAACCACTATTTTCGAAGCCGGACAAGGCGGCGTTTTCGGCGCGTGACCGCGCCAGCCGTGACTGCCTCCACATGATGATAGCTTTCGATCGGCTCAAGGACCGGCCAGCCTTCCTTTGTGTCCGGCCGGGGGTCCACAGTGGCCATGTAATAGCGGCCGGCGGCGGCGCCGGCGGCACTCCCGGTCGAAGAGGGGGCCGGAGGTCACGCAAGGGTTCGGCCACCCGCTAATTGACACCAGAAGCTTCAATTAGTCGAGCGGGCGCGGGCGGCGGCGCGGCGACGCAAACAGGGCCCTCCCAGGTGCTCTGTTTGTCCGCGGGGACCACCCGGCTCAATCATCTCGACTGCAGTCGCACCTGATGGCTTAATCGCGGCAGCGTGTGAGCGAACCACCCAAAGCCGATTACGCGTGTCTTTGTCGCCGGCGCCGGTCACGGCTCGCCCGGGACAGGGGCGGCCTTGCCGGCCATTCAGTGCGCGCGCTGGCTGAAGGCGCTCCGTCAACGTCTGGCGGAGAGGGACGGGCGGGACGCGGGGGACCGACGGGACGGCTTCATTACCGACAGGCGACGAGGGACGGGATGCCGACCACGGGAGCGGCGCTGCCGCGGGAAGCGACCCGGACCGGGCCGGTTACGCCTGCTCCGGCGCCGGTTTCGACATACCGGATTGTGCGCGTAGGCTGCGAAGACAGTCGAAGTGTGGTGAGTTACCCCGTCACTAATCAGCTGAACCGGTCGATGGGCTGGTGAGGTGTCCGATGCTGATCGCTGGTTGGCTGACGGACAGCATCGATTGGTGGGAACACCAAAAATCCGGCAAGGCGTAAAAACGCATTCTGCACCGCTGCACCAAAGATCGCGGGGGTGATGCGTGGAGGAACATTCCAGACAGTGACGTCAGATGGGCGGCTGCAGCACAAAAGTCCATATCGTGGCTACCAAAGCCAGCATATCGACAGGCGCAAACTATCGATTACACAAACCCGACCACGTCTCACTAACCCCACTCATCATTATCGCATGACCCCGCCAACGCCGTGACGACTCAGACCACACTCCGCCGCAGGTTCCATTCCGCCCCACTCCGCTCCACTCCTGCGCAGTTCGGCGGGGCGTGGGACGGCGGCCAAAGGGCGCGCCCTGCACTGATCCTGCGACGAACCCGACGCTTCGGCGGCGGGCCGGCGCCCGTCGGCGGCCGCAGTAATTGGGTCCCGCAGCGATCCGTGTCAGCGGGCTCGGCTTCGCGTCTCGGCGGTAGCTGCAGCCGGCCACGGCCCGCTGGCCGCGTTTGCAAGCGCTCAGACGCGACACGCGAGCGCACACGCGCCGCGCGCGACGCACCCGAGAGGTGGAACGCGTCGGGCGACGCGGAGCCGGCTCCGGTGGGGCCCCGTCACTGGGGGGCGGCCACCAGAGGCGGCGGCGCGCCGCCCGGCCCAGACCGGGCATGAGCGCCGGTCAGCCGTGGAGAATGTGATCGGCCACGCCGGGGCGGCCGGACAGCCGGCCGGGCCGCGCGGCCCCCAGAAATCACCGGTAATGAGGACCAGAGCAAAGAAACGCCACCGGAGAGGTCGTTAATGTCACCCGGACGAGAGTAATGATCGAAAAACTGTGACCTCGCATTAGGCGACTCGTCGCTCTCAATAGGGCCGCGCCCGCTGGTAAAACCCACGGCGGCGCACAGACTGTTTTTCGAATGTCTCTGTTACCGGCGACGGCGGCCGGCCGGCGGCCGCGCGCGCTGTCGCCGGCCCCGCTAATGGCCGATTAGCCGGCCGGCCGGCTTTGACCGCCGCACGGCTGGGCGGCCAGCCGTCGCCGCCGCACAAAGCCCGCGCCTCCCGACGGACCGCCGAGCTGGCGCAGCGTTCCGGCGCGTCACGCGGCCGCTGGCCTGGCAGCCGTTTTGGACGACGCCGGCCGGTGGGAGAACCGGAGGCCGGCGGCCGGTCAGGCACCTCCCAACGGCAGCGGGCGCAGTGGCGGCGCAGCACGCGCGGCCGAGAGGGAGCTGCCGCCGCGCGGCGCCGCCCGCCGCCGGCCGCTATCCCTAATAATTATGATAAGCGGCTGCGTGCAGCGTGTATACCCCGTTCGGGAGACGCCAAAAAACGGGGGTAAGGATCGTCTAAATCAAACTGATGGCGCGTCCAGCGAGATGGGAAGTGGATAAGGGCGGCGCAACGCGCCTGAACCACGGTAGGCGCCGGGGAGCCAGCGGCGGAACCGGCGATGGGCGCACGAGGAGGCGAGGAGACGATACCACCTGGTCAAGTGGACGTTGGACATAACACAGAACGGCTTGCACGATTGGGCAGCCGTGCAGAACAATCGGACATGCATCGGACGGGCCTCCGAGAGGGACCACCGGTCCGGAGAGACGGCCAACCATGTGCTGAAACGCCTGACGGGCCGACCTGCGTCGCCGGCCTGCGCGGCGGCCACCACCCGCCGGTGGGCTGCAGCGCCGCTTGACAAAACTGGCCACTAACGGAGCGTTGCATACCGGGGCGTCACGATCCCTCAACTCAAGGCCGGCGCCGGCCACGACGCGCCCCGACAAGCGGCGGCGCGGCCGGTCGGTCGCCCGCGCCACGTCGAGCTCGCGCTTGCACAGCGCCCCCCCCCCCCCCCTCTCGCCTCCTCTCGAGGCGAGGGGCGGGCGTGGGGTGTGGTCGCCGGTCCGGGTCAGCGACTCAGCGCACCTGCCGCAGCTCGCTGCACTCGGACGATGTCGCCGCGGCGCGCCGTTTATGTCCCATCAAGCGGCCGAGCGGGCCTGGCCGGCGTCATACGTGGCTTTCATTTCGATTTGATGCGAGTTTAATTCGACGAGGGTCTCTGCATCAGGCAGACACCGCCCGCGATCGCGTTGCTGGAAAAACGGCGATACCATCTTTATCGGCAGTGAAACGACGCGGCGTGTCCCACCGCGGGAATAAAACCGTAATTGAATTCTCCGATTACGTATTGGAGCGGGCGCCCCGGCCGTCCCGCCGCGCCAGTATACCCCACCATTGTCCTGGCGTCCGCACGCTATCCCTGACCGCTCCAGCACTGACCATCGCGGAAAAAGAAATCGACGACCTTTTTGCGGGTTTTATCAGTCGCGTATCCGCGGGTCCGTTGCCGTATTGACACTCGCTAAGCCGCGGCGGACCGGCTCGGCTGCCGCTTCAGAACGTGGGAAAGGCGGTAATCTCGGCGGGCTCTTGAGACTGTCACCAGGCTAAACCGCGTGCAAACGGGACTGGTCAACACGTCGGATAATCTGGTTTTAATGTGCCCAGCGGATCGCGGCTCGGGCCGCCGCCCGCGCAACGTCCGGTGACGGACTGTCCGGACACACATCTGCCGACGGACAGGACAGGACAGGACAGGACAGGACAGGACGGCGCCGACAGCGCAGAGATGGGACGGTGCGGGCGGTACGGGCGGCGGGCGGCGCCGTGCGGACAATGTGGACAGAGGACGGGACATGCGGGCAATGTGGACAGAGGGCGGGACACCGTGGACACTATGGAATGAAGACGAGCTAGCACGGGAAACACGGCCACAAGATGGAACAACGCTAACAATGCCGTCAGAGGACCGAACAGCGCAGGCACTGCAATATGGCAGAAGAGATAACAGCACTGAACATGCAAGTAGAGGGCGAGGCAGCTCGGCCAGTATGGCCAGAGGATGGGACAGCGCAAACAGTCCGGACAAACTCGGGCACAAGGGGCCATGAGGAATGATGGCGGGTAGTACGGGTACGAGGATAGTACAGGGGGCGAAACGGGCAAAAAACGATCACAGCTAACAGAGCATCACCAGCCGAAATGGGCAGATTGGGGAGATACGGCGAGCTGAGCGAGGAAAGGTAACAGATGGGTGAAAGCGACAAGGCCTGGTCACTAGCGAATCACCACTGGCCCCCCCAGACAAGCGCGCTCATGTCCGATGCATTGGCCCGCGGCGCTGTCCAAGCTGCCAGCGTGCCAAGCCCCACTGCAATGGCTGTGATAAGACGCGACTTGTGGCGAGGACACCTGGCCACTCCCCAGACGCCTGCTGTCACCTGGCCCCGTCTCGGGAGGAGGTCGCGGCCCAGGGGCCGGGCCTGGGAGTGCGGTGGCCGCCCGCCGCCCGACGGGGGACAACAGGAAACATTACCGGTCGCACGCCGCCGGCACAGGCGTAATTGCAGCTCTGATCGGCGTAATGGCGCCATCCGAGCCGGCCGCCGCCACGCGAGGACGGACCGGCGCGAGGACCGAAGGAGGGCGAGGCGCCGCGGACCCCGGCCGGCGGGCGGCCGCCCGGCGGGTCACCGAACAGGCCCCCGGGCAGGTCAGCACCGACATCAGGGCAAACCTGACATCAGACGGCTGACGGCTCCGGTTTGAGCAACGGAGCATTATGCCACTGGGGCGCTCGAGACGGCGTTCAGAGACCGGCCTCCGACACCAGGCGGATCTCAGTAAGCGCGCTGGATCTCGAGCGTGACCTATCGCCGCAGATCGCGGGTGCCACGCGCCGTCCACTTAACGCTGCCGGCCGAGCCGACACTGGAAGGTGACGCCAGGGATCACGAGCGATCGCCGGATAGGCGTGGGCCCGGCCCGGCGCGTCATCGACGCTGTCGCACTGATCACCAGGAGGAGTTCTAGGGGAAGGGGACACCTTTTGTGGAGATTGAGCGATGAAGTGAAGCCTTATTATTCACGTAGTTTGAGACTGCTTTGCCCAGTTCTCTTCAAACGAAGGTTTCACCATGACAGTACAAACACTTGAATGCACGCATTGTGCAGAGTACGACCGAGACGACCCCAATGCCGTAACAAAAGAAAAGGACAACCCAATTGCTGAACAAGATGACACTCCCATGACAACAGCTCAATCCAACAGACCGAACCGGCACTGAGCACCCGCATCGCGCCCCAGAGCGGGGGCCAGCAGCCGCGTGCTCGCGACCACGCGGTACTCACCATCCAGGAGAAGGTGAACGGTAGCCGGAGCGTGGCGTTAGCCGGGTCGGTCAGCGTGAAGCTGTTGCCGCCCACGACGGTGCTGGTCGTGTTGCCGAAGCTGCACGAGCCCTGCGTGTGGATGTGGCTCTGGTACTCCTTGAGGCAGAGCCGGAAGGACGTGTGGCAGGCGGCCTGGCAGCGGCCGTCGGTGCGGCCGGCGGTGCCGCAGCACCGGCCGTCCAGCCGCTCGCCCCGGTAGTTCTGCGTCTCCAGCACCTGCAGCTCGAAGAAGCCCGAACCAGCCACCTGCGGCGGGGCTGGTGTCACGTCCGAGGCGGAGGGCACGGACGGTCCGACGTGGGGGCAGGCACCACCGGGGCACAGGTGGCGCGCATGTAGACCCATTGCAAGCGGCTAAAAAACTGCGAGCTTCAAACGGGAAAACCGTGTGGGCTACACTACGGCTAATGAACATCAAATACACTTAGCACAAATCACAACTAATTTACATCAATGCATTTTAATGAGCATAATTAAAACTATACAACATGCAATGGCAGCTAACAGGCACACTTACTCATTGAGCATAGGTTCGAAATTCGACACTGATTTCATTGACAAAGTATACATGAATTCTTGGTTTGAACGCATACCGTCCAAAGACAGACGGTAAAGCTGTCATCCAGCTGAGATCAGCCCGAGACCTACCTGCCCGATGCACAGGCCCAGCAGCATCACGGTCCACATCGTCACGGAAATGTCACGGCGCATGGTGGCACGCGCGCGGAGGCCGTGGCCCGCACAGAAGCGCCCGTCGCCGTCCGAGCGTCGCTTCCGATCACTGAGTGTCGCTCGCCGTCGCACCGCACCGCCCGCGCATTCCGCACAGCACCTGACCGCCGCCTCGGTCCGACTACCGTCCGCTCCTGCCGGCCACCGCCGGCTACCTGACGCGCATGCGCAGAGCGCGCGGCGGCCGGCCGGCCGTCCGAGCGCGCACAAAAAGACGGCGAAACGGCCAGGTAATTAAACCGATAGTTAGTTATCTGAAGCTAATTAGAGAATTATCCTGGGAAAGATAAATGGAAGGGTTCGGGGGTAGCCGGTGCGACGGTGACAGGTGTGACCTGAGGTCACTGGTACGTCGGACAGACGGAAGCGCTGATGCTTGGCTGCGACGGTGGTCCGTGTCTTCGTCACGGACCAGTGACGGAACCGCGGGTCGAGTGGACGAAGCATTCCAAAGATTTCTTCCAGGGAATTAGAGGCACGTCCGGTTCATGGGACATAAAGCTAACGAACAAAACACAGGCAGCCCGACCGTTCAACCGAGCACAATGCTACCCTCAGGAGTAAATAGCTCAATGTGTTTTTACTGGCTACATTTGAAACGGACTCGGGGCGGCAAAATCTCCTATTCGGTCCAGGGGCTTGAAACTGACCCTTGGAGTAGTGAGCCAACAGACTGTTTGGACCTGACCATACATTTGTGACGAGCGAGGATGCATAGTTATATGAGAGCAAGTTGTCATGTGAATCTATGCCACTTGTCGTTAACTTATTTTCCTTGGATTCTTGGAATCTTTGAATTGGAACCATGGATGATATATACCCTATGTCTGCTGCGGCAAGACTTCACAGAGCGATCTATGGACGATGCTTGCAAAACCTACCGCGACTCGACACGCATTAAACACAGATGCTCATTCTATAACATAACAAATTGTCGTCATTGCCTTCACCTCCTGTCATTCGACATACAGCAGATTCGCAGCACAACATCTGTTTTCGGGCAGTTTTTTCTGCAGCCTAAAGGTATTCCGATTTTTTTTTTTGATTTTTTTTATTTCTGACCGACCTGCGACACTCTACTAACGGTCCCACAGCGCGAGATAGAAGAGCCGTGGGAGCCGCTGACGAGGTTCTGGCATGAAAGACGGCGATGCCTATGAGCTAACGGGCTGATAAGTGCCGTCCGCGTCTCCAGTTTCTCACGGTGGCGCTGTTTGCTAGTCTGACAGCAGCGAGACTCTCCCGACGCTGGTCGGAGAGGGGAGTTATCCACTGGTTGGCTGCAGTGTCCGTCCGTGATGACCTGTAATAAGCAGCGGACGTTACAGCCATAGCTGGCCACACCCACAGCCCAGAGTCAAGGCCTTCACACAACTGTCGCATTTGAAAATGAGACAATCTGTGGACAGGTAGCATGGCAATGGTGACGTGACCCTTACTAGTTACCATCAATTTGCCCGATGGGCGCGCTGGCGGCGATAGGCGGTGCCGTGATGGCAATGTCTTTGTTTTAAAAATGCACAATGGGACATCTTCACGGAGACACTGCATTGAATTTTACTGTGATGGATCGACGTGCGGCTTACGCAACAGCACAGCCACTCGGCAGCGGGCCTTTAGGAATGTCTCGGCGGTGACTCATCCGCTGCTGTCCACACGGATGGGTGACGCACTTCTTCGAATTCGCGGTATGCGCCGTGGTGCATGGCCGGTTTGTTGGCCAAGCGGCGGGAACTGATCGGAACTCCGCCAGCCGACCGGTGGCTTCACGCCATCTCGACACAGCACTTTTCCTGGAGCTGGTTTGACATGATCGGACCCTCGCCAGCATAGTCTGGCGGACATGAGGCGCTCCCATCGTCTGTAATTCGTATGAATTATCTTAAGTGTTCCAGGTCAGTTTGAAACCGGATTGTTTCTCGACCTTATTCACCGAACGCGAGAAAACACGCGATGCTTGGGGAAAATGGTAAGGAGGTAATTGTGGTGATTTGGTTGGGGTCTAATAGATTCCTCAATATCAATGGACATCATAGGTACCTATGATGCGTGCGTAATACGTGTACGCGTGCAGTGTTGTCAATTACAGGCATAGGTAATGTGCTAATGTGTTATAATATCAATCGGTAAATAGCAAAACATGCAGCATGTGATTTGTTTCTAACATGTGAAAACATGTAAAATATCAACATAAAATATGCAATACATGATGTGAATGTAATTCTAAAAATGCATGCATACACGCGTGTACGTAAGCATGGACGCTGACTATCTATGTGTGCATTAATAGCACATCCAAATATTCTGGCTCTTGATGCACTCGCGTCCAAGGGTGGATCCGTGGAGGGTGTAAGGGGTGTCAGTCAGGCTATAGCTCACCCTAAGATGGCCTAAGTCGGAGAAAAGTGGCATTTCTTGGCTTGGACGAAAATCTAACCAGCTTTTCGCCTAGAAATGTTTGTTTTGGAACAATGATGAAGGTTCAGAGGAGCAATATGGGATTAAGTTAAAAATTTAGGATGCTTTTTTCTTAATTACCACCCCCAGCCGGTGTCACCCTAGCTCTAACGCGACGTTCTGGAACCGCACCTGTTAGCGTCCACCTAAGACAACAATGGTGATGACGCGCGCGGCGTGAAACGATCACAAACGATACAAAAAACTAACACTCCATTCCAGCGATCATACCACCACCGGTACAGGTCTCCATGGCATCAACGCAGCGGCATTCATTAACTAAACCATGTTTTATGAAAGAAACTCGTGTGTACCACTACAAATGCTTAAATAAACAATATATGTAACGCATTCAGTAGAGAAGGCCTAGGATGCTCCTTGAAGTGTCTGTAGTCCCACAGTGGCCAGCTTGCCGCCTATACGGCCACAGGGAATTAAGTTCCGAGTGAAAACGTGCTGCTTCCGTGAATAATTGTTGCGAGGAAGCGTTGCGCACATTATAATGTCCCGACCACCTGACAAAGTCCGTGCATCACATGTCATAAAGAACCCTGAGTTCCAAGCAGCATGTTAGACTTTGATTTCCATCTTGTGTATTGTGCCGCCGCGTCTACTTATGGCACTTGCTTGTTTCTTTCCCCTTGCCTTTAATCTGGCTCTAGCCACAACTGCTGTGAAAGCGTTAAACGAAAAGGACATATTCTGCAAGCGTGGCCGCGTTTTTTGGAAGCCCTGATCACCAAGAGTGCATATCAATACTGCATTCTGCGTATACGCCTGGTGCGCCTCTGCTTTTTGATAGCTGACCGTGGGGCCAACGCTGCTCATCCTGGCCTATGATGACAGCCAGGTCACGAAGCACCGGCTGCAGATCGCCAGAGGTCAGGGCTGTCTGACGGTGCCCCAGCAGCGGCGGCCGGTCCGCCAGCCGAGCCGGCCGCCGCCGCCCGGTCCGCGAGAGGGCGCCGCCGCCAGCGGAGGTCACGTACGCGGCTGGCTGCAGCGTCCCTCCGCGGCCGCCATTACCCGGTCAGCTCCGGACACTGATGATACGCCCGGACACAGGCGGCCCGCCGGCTGCTGGCGGCCCTCTGATTTCGGGTATTATCTGGCGGAGGCTGCAGGCGCCGCCAGGGCCGCGTGGCGCCACTTTCGTCGGCACCGCGTCACTTTCAGTCGGCAGCAGCGTCGCGTTAGTGCGGTCAGGCGTCAGTGGGCATCCTTGAACACACAGTCGATAATTATTTACTCTGGCGGCACTCAGTATTTTTATGATAATGCTCGTGTACACGGCCAGTGATTACGATCTATTTAACCATTCTCTTGTCATGCAAAATTGCCTGCATCTGTGTTTACATTTGATTTAGGGCAGTCTGCCGGCTGCTTAGAAGCCATTTCGGATATAAAATGTTCAGCCCTGACGCTCTGTCTCTAGCGACGAATCAGTATAATGGGACTTTAACGTGATTGAATTTCTGCAGCAGCCTTTGATAGGGAAAAGGGCATTTGGTCTGACAGCCCGACCACGACATCAGCTGAAGCGATAAGGTTGCAGATAGTGCAGATCCTGCAGCTCATGTCTGGTCATATTGTAAACAACCGGTGGGTTGAAAAGACGAAATGGCATGTCATGCTCCGAGCCAATGACGGCTTTAAAATCAAAATCAGGTGCTGGGAAAATATTACCCGCATGCAATGGAAGCATTCGATATCTATATTACTAAATATATATATATATATATATATATATATATATATATATATATATATATACGGACCTGTCTCATATTGACTGCTATCATTGTCATAAGAGTTAGCACAAGTAAAAACTTAATGACCGGGGCAGCAGTCCAAATCACCTTTGTCTGAACTGGTTAACGTTTAGATACGCTTACGCATCATCATCAGGACGTTGCATGCACCGTGAGGAAACCAGGCCACAATTAGCAAGCATCGCTAGGTTATCTCGCATATATAGTTCACGGCGTTAT